TGATCCACTTACTAAGGGTTTGGTGCCTAAAGTCTTTCATGAGCACACTGCTCATATGGGTGTAATTCCTTATAGTACCTTAGTTTAGTGGGAGTCTCATTTATGTTTTGTGTCTTCTTTTTTTTTATTTTTTCCAGATATTTGTATTATTTGGATTTTCTACAGAAATAAAGTTGATGTTCATAATTTTATTCTGAGCTTGTTTTTGTGCAATATATATATATTGCGTTTTGAATGGATCTCTATAAAGAATAAAGTTTGGACCAGTTGGAAATAGACATGATTAAGATCACGTTGCATGTAATTTCCATGCCACTTATCCATATTTGATCTATGTCATTGAGTGCATACAATTGTGGTGATCATTGTGGTTTAGTCACATTAGATAATGATGAAAGCTGCAGTGGTTCCTTGTTGTTGTATGAGATGGACCAGATTGTTTAAGGGGAGTCTAAAAGTAAATAGCATACGTTGCGCGCCTAAAGAATTTTGTGATATAAATATTTAAATGAATATGAAGCCCAAGTGGGAGATTGTTAGAAATTTTATTTCTAATAATTATTGTGGGCTATATATATTATTTGTAGTATTTATATTAGTTATTTACATTTGGTTGGGCTCAATAAAAGTGATCTAATTTTAGTGAGCCTTTAGACTGCCAACAGGAAAAACTGATATGGGCCCAAATAAGTGGAAACCAGATTTGGCCCGTTAGGGGTTAATGGGAACCCTAATAGGTTTAAAATCATAAAGATGGTCATGGTCCCCAATATGCCAAATCAGAAACACACGTCTCTCTGTCTCCCCATCAGAAGAGTAACATCAAGTCCCATCAAGGAATCCAGTGATTTGGCTGAGGAAGATCATTGCACCAAAAGACTATTCCGCTGCAACCTTCTGATCAACGTCAATGGATACAGGTACGTATTATTATCATTAACTCTGTAATCTGAGACAACGGTTCTTAATATTGATTAATGGAAATTTTCTATTTGGCTTAAGAAATTTATCCCAACATAACATTCATGGTCTATGTTTTTTTTAATGAAGAACAAAAGTTATGGATAAAAGTTGGTTATTGAATCGAAGTTGGATACATGCATTATGTATAAGTGATGAGTATGAGACTGGAGTAGAATATTTTATTGAATGTAATACGAAATGCTAATGATGATATGAATGGAAGGTTTTTTTGTCCTTGTGTTAATTGTTGTAATGCGACTCGCCTAGAACTTGATGTTATAAGAGAACATCTTTTGTGTGATGGATTTCTTAAGAATTATACACGTTGGATATGGCATGGTGAAAATGTTGACATTCAAAGTGTATCAGTCGAAACTCAAACTCAAACATTTACACAAGAGATAGATATGGATGATCGGTTAGAGGAGATGCTTCGTGATGTGGGTCCAGAATCATTCAAGCGTGCACATATGTATGAAACTATGTGCAACGATTTGGAGAAGCCGTTGTATCCAAACTGTACAAAATTCACAAGACTTTCAGCGATATTAAGATTGTTCAATTTGAAGGCAAGAAATGGATGGAGTGATAAAAGCTTCACAGAATTGTTAGAGCTACTGAAAGAAATGCTTCCAGAGGGTAACACATTGCCTAATCGTAACTACGAGGCAAAAAAGGTGTTGTGTCCTATGGGTTTGGAGTATAAGAAGATACATGCGTGCCCAAATGATTGTATGTTATATCATGGTGAGTTTGAAGGGTTGCATCAATGTCCAAGATGTGGGTTGTCACGATATAAAAAGAAACAAGATGATTCTGATTATGATGTGAGCACTAAGGGTCCTCCAGCGAAGGTTTTATGGTATTTGCCAATTGTTCCGAGATTAAAACGTTTGTTTGCTAATGCGGATGACGCAAAGCTAATGAGATGGCATGAAGATGAAAGGAAGTGTGATGGAAGTCTTAGGCATCCAGCAGATTGTTTGCAATGGAAAAAAATTGATTCTATGTTTCCAAATTTTGGCAAGGAGCCAAGAAATGTGAGGCTTGGACTAGCTACGGATGGAATGAATCCGTTTGGTAACTTAAGTACTAAGCATAGTTCATGGCCTGTTTTGTTGACAATTTACAATTTACCTCCGTGGTTGTGCATGAAACGCAAATATTTAATGCTATCTATGATGATTTCTGGTCCAAGGCAACCAGGAAACGACATTGATGTTTATTTAAGTCCATTGGTGGAAGACTTAAAGATGTTGTGGGAAGAGGGAATTGATGTGTTTGACGGGTATTCAGGTGAATTGTTCAGGTTGCGTGCCATGTTGTTCTGCACAATCAATGACTTTCCAGCATATGGAAACTTGTGCGGCTACAGTGTTAAGGGGCATAAAGCTTGCCCTATATGTGAAGAGGACACTTGTTACCATCAACTTCTTAATTGGAAGAAGACAGTTTACCTTAGCCATCGAAGATTTCTTAAACCTAATCATCCATATCGAAGGTTAAAAAAAGCTTTTAATGGATTTCAAGAATATGACAGTGCTCCTACTGCATTAACTGGTGAGCAAGTTTATGAACGGGTGAAGAATTTAAATATGACACTTGGAAAGAAGGGAAAACAACCCAAAGAAAGAAGCATATGGAAGAAGAGGTCGATATTATTTGATCTTCCATACTGGAAAGTTCTTGATGTTAGACATTGCATTGATGTCATGCATGTTGAGAAAAATGTATGTGATAGTGTAATTGGCACACTTCTCAATATTCAAGGCAAGACAAAAGATGGACTCAACTCTCGTCTAGATTTGCAACTCATGGGAATACGACAACAATTGTATCCACAACCTAAGGGTAAGCGAACATATTTGCCCCCAGCATGTCACACATTGTCAAAAAAGGAGAAAACAAGTTTTTGTGAGTGCTTACATGGTGTCAAAGTGCCGCATGGTTACTCTTCTAATGTAAAAAGTCTAGTATCAATGAAAGATTTGAAATTAGTTGGCTTGAAGTCTCATGATTGTTATGTACTAATGCAACAACTTCTTCCTGTCACGATATGTGACGTTTTACCTAAAAATGTGAGACAAGTCATAACTAGGCTTTGCTTGTTTTTCAATGGCATATGCAGCAAAGTAATTGATCCACATAAGTTAGATGAGTTGGAAAATGAAGCTGTTCTAATATTGTGTCAATTGGTGATGTATTTTCCTCCTTCTTTTTTTGACATTATGGTTCACTTAATCATCCAATTGGTCAGAGAGGTTAGGTTGTGTGGTCCTGTCTTTTTGAGATGGATGTACCTAATTAAGCGATACATGAAGATATTAAAAGGGTATCTGAAGAGCCAACATCGTCCAGAAGCATCCATTATAGAAAGGTATATTGCAGAGGAAGCAATTGAGTTTTGTTCTGAATACATGTCCCAAGTTGAATCAATAGGCATTCCTAAGACTCGTCATGAGGAATGAATTGCTGGGAAGGGTACGATAGGCACAAAAATTGAAGAGCATGCCACGAGAAGAAGTGCTTCAAGCACATTTGTATATATTGAACAACACCAATGAGGTTCTTCCTTATTTAAATGCCCATAAAGACTTAGTGAAGACAAACAACCCTCGAATGCCTGAAAAATGGGTGTTGAATGAGCATAACAAGACTTTCACCGAGTGGTTCAAAAAGAATGTTGGGACAGATTTAAATGTTTTTGAAACTTTACAACGCCTAGCTCAAGGACCTAACTTTGATGTGTTTACTTTTTGTGGATATGACATTAACAATTACTCATTTTATACAAAGGCATGACAAAAGTATCATGCAAAATAGTGGGATTATGATAGTTGCTCAATCTATACATTTCTCAACCAAAAATGATAAGAACCCTATCAAAGCGTCCATGTGCTATTTTGGAGTTATTGAAGACATATGGGAGGTCGATTACGGTCCATTCCGAGTACCTGTATTTAAATGCAAATGGGTTGATAGTAATAGTGGTGTCAAAATTGATGAATTTGTAAGTTACTTTGATTACATATATGGTTGACATTTACCAACTATTGTGATTTGTATGTAAATTGGTCTATTAAAAACATATGAATTGTCTGGTATTTTATTAATTTGCAGGTTTTGTTCAGGGATCCTCCTAAAATTAGTCAAATATTTTAAAAAAATTAACCACTTTTAACATCGATCATGGCATGACCGATATTAAAAGTCTTACTTTTAACATCGGTCAATGTTGACTGATTTTAAAAGTCTCACTTTTAACATCGGTCAGCGATCGATGTTAAAAGTCTCACTTTTTAAAATCGTCTCTTTTAAAATTGGTCAAAGAACCAATTTTAAAAATAAAAAATGACCAATTTTAAAAATATTTTTTCCACTAGTAATGAACAAATGAACCTCTGTTTAAGAATACTTGCGAATAATTTTTTTTATTAATTTTAAATGGATAACGAGTACTTCCATAATAATGGAATAAGAATCCACAATAAGTTATTCACAACTGCTTGCACTTTAAAAAATATTAAAAGTATTCATCATTATATATAAAATAATTTAGTTTTGATTTATTTTTAAGCTAAATATATGTATCATATTTTTTTTATAAATATGTTACAAAATTAGTTTTTAATATAATATATTTTTTTAAATTAGTCATTTTTTATTTTATTTTATTTCTTATTTTTTATTTAAAATTATACATTTCATCAAATATTTATAAATATCCATAGATATTAATATTAATATATATGTGTGATTTGTAGCGGCTATTTTGGCAGTTTCTGGCGGTTAAAAACCGCCACAAATTGCATTACCGGCGTCGTTAATAACCGCCGGATCTACGGTCGCCAAATATCGTTTGTGGCGGATATTTTGTAAACGCTGGTTTTGAGCGCCAGAAAATTCAATCTCTTTCTGGCGGTCTGAAACCGCCAAAAAATGCGTTTTGGTTTGACTTGTTGACATTTTCTGGCGGTCTAAAACCGCCACAAAACTGCATTTCTGTTTGACTTGTTCATCATTTTCTGGCGGTTTTAACCCGCCACAAAATTCATTGTAATTCCACCCAACGCAAAATTTCTGACGATTTTAAAACCTCCTCAAAATTATTATTTTTACGTTTACATTTTCTGGTGGTTTTAGATTGCCAACAAATACATTATTTAGAAGATTCTCCTTGGCATAAATAGGAGCAGCAGATCCATTGTGTCCATCAAATAGCTGTAAAACTTTTGAATCAGAAAATGCAACCAGGAAAAAAAAAACAAGAAATGAAATATAATCTTTTGTGGCGGTTTTTTGAAACCGCCAGAAAAAAACCCCACTAACTACCTCTTTTTTTGTAGTGTATATATATATATATATATATAAATGTATACATATTTATTAAATAATTATTCACATTAAATGACACCGATGACGAGAGGTTACTATCCGTCTCCAACCCATTGATTGACATTCTTAAACACAATCTCGAGAAAATAAAAAACAAGAACCATAACTAGATCTAAAAAACATAAAAACAAAAACAGCAAAGACACCAATAGTGACAAAACACCAACATGGTGACAGCAACGGAAGAGAGCAGGGACGAAGTAGGGTGATCAAGGTTGCAAAATAAGAGCAGTGGAAGAGAAGAAGAAGAAAACGAAGGGTGCCATGACAAAGAATGTGCCAAAAACGTATGCATTGTTTATACATTAAAGTCATTATACTATTATGGGTGTGTTTGGTGTTGCGTTTTAAGAATTGATTTATTAAAATCAATTTTCTAAACGTAGAAGCTATTTTTATCAGTTTCAGGTAAAATTGATTTTTACCCTTAAAATTGTGTAAAGAAGAGAAAATCAAACATCTATTCAAAGAGAGGAATCACGTTTTTTAAAAAAAATACGCGTTAGCCTGATGCAATGCGCATCCAAACACGCTGCAAGTGAGTGTTTACATTGGAATCGAAACGTGATTTTTCATGTTTATTTAAAAATAACAAATAATAGTTTCCACTTAAAATTAGTGTTGGACGTAGAGAACAAAAAATTACTTTACAAAATGAAACCAAACACACACTAAATTTATAATCAAGGTAGAATTAGTTTTCTACATTTATGGCCAATATAAAATGTGTTTATTTATGTTTCTTATTTTAGTACCAACGTAGAACACTTTAAAAAAAATTTGTCACTGCCTCACTTTTTATATCAATTATAAAATAAATCATGTAAAATTCTGACAATAAAGAGTGTTTTTACGGTAATTAACATACAAGTACCATAAAATTTTGGAAGAAATTAAGAGATTTTTATTTATAAAAACGATTATTTATTTTTGTATACTTAATTTTTTTAGTATTTTATTCTTAAATTTTTAAATAATACTTTAAAGTTTAAAAAGCAGACACGAATTCAATGAACAACAATGATTCTTAAACATTTTTAAACAAATATTAAAAATACAAACTTCACTGATATAAATAAAATAAAACAAATTCATAGGTGGCCAGCGCTATGATGTCCATAGTGGTCCTATATGGGACAATTACGTCCTCCTTGTAAAGCATCATTCTCTTTGAAGAAGTTCTGACTCGTATTCCCTTCAGTGAAGAGCCCCAGTTCTGAAGGGACACCTACAGGACTCACTGGAATATATGGTTGGTCAAAGACAATAATGTCTGAAGAAAGAATAAAGATACTCAACATTCAACAACACGGACCACCCCTTTTATTCATGCACGCACTGTACTTTGCCTGTTTCCCTTTCATTTCTGTTATTGCGTTTTTAATTTCCCATTACATTGAAACTTGCACGTGGAAGTAGCTATCAGCCTGACTATTCTGAACTTAACTCTAGCCTAGGTACAATATAGGTACAAAAAGGAATAACACCATCATATCTATCTGAATTTCAGAACTCATATGATCAAGAGAGTTTATTTATCAAAAACTTTTATCGATGAAAAGTGTTCCGGAAGATGCTTAAAACCTTGAGTCGGTGTTACTTTTGTCAAAATAACACTGACTTAGGAGTAACTATTATTTGGGCTTGTCATGCGGCACATGGCAGATGCTCTCCCTGGTATTTGTTTAACTACCTATTAAATGTTCATTTGACACATCTCTTATCCTCGGGACTTAGGCGCCAAAGTGTCTTTACATATGTTTGGAGGTTGAGATCCCACTTCTCATTAGAGGTCATTGTTTCTTGTTGAAATTATCTTCATTGCTTGAGCATGCATCCAACATGTTTAGAGTACCAAAAATACTTCGGAACAAAAGGTAACTGGGATGGTGGGAGATCGAGGGAGTATTACTATTTAACAGAAAAACCAAAAACGTACTCTAGTATTTTTTAGTATGCTGAAATGAAGATAACTTTCTGTTACAAAACGAGTGTTGTGATTCCTAGAAACAAACTGCAGAGTTACATAAATGCCTATCAACCCCAGATTTTTGAGTGTTACAGATATTTTCTCAAACTCTTGTAAATCTTTGTACATAACGGATTGAAACTACAAATACCAAAACAACCACTCTACCTAGTTATGATCATGTGCTACAGCCTACAGCCACTATCGAATTAATGTAAATAGATACTCCCAACAACAGAAAACAACACGCATATCAAACATGCAGTGCAGGATCGAGTTAGTGATTAACAAAGTTCCTGACATGAGATATCATTTCTTGGGTCCGGGAATGGGAAAGATGGTAATTATGCAGCACTTGGAAAGCATGTCCTACGCCTTTGTACACAAATGTCTCGACCCTTTTCCCTGCTTTGGCCAAAGCGTTTGAGAACTCCAAATTCCTATCTCTCAGTATGTCCATTTCTGAAACACACACCATAACGGATGAAACCCTCAAATCTCTCAGGATTCCATGAGAAAGAGGGTTGCAATAAGGGTGGTCACGTGTGGCCCCATGAGGAAGTGCCAAACGCCAATAAGTGTCAGAAACGGGTAAAGTGAGTGCTGAATTTGGTGGCTGAAGGAAATGCTTCTCAGAGCTAGTTCTTTCCTCTCCTCCAAAGAAGGGTTGGATCAACACAACACCCTTGAGAGATAATGTTGATCCAATGCGTGTGGCCACATTGTAAGCTATGTTGGCACCTGCACTGTCACCAATTAAGAAAAGAGAAGAAAGGTTGCAATGACTCAGCCACCACTTTTGCACACTAGACACATTCATTGCTTCTCTTTTCACCCACATGAGAACGTTGAAGCCATCATCATATGCTACTGGAAGACGATTCTCAGGGGCTAGGTGATACTCCACTGAGAGAATAACACAGTTTGCTTTGGAAGCAAGGTTGGTCAAGAACTCATGGTAACAGCTCCAAGCAGCGGAACCAACGCAGAATCCACCACCGTGGAAGTACACAAGCAAAGGAACCTTGGTGTGACAAATCAGTGGCACGTACGCACGTGCCCATGAATTTGTCTCTTTGTTGATCATAACATCTTTGGCAGTGACACCACGTTCTGACGCCACTGTGGAGGAGACACTAGGCACAATTGGAGGCCTCTCCACACGTCCATCTCTGTGGACTCTTATGAGTCCATGGATTTCTTCAGCGATGATTTCACGTTGCTGGTTAGTGTTGTTTACTTGCAGGTTATTCCTGAGTGAAATGGTAGCCATATTGTTGACTCTTGATTAATATTTTGAAGAGTGGAAGTTTGAATTCTCGTTGTGATGATGTGTCATAGTGTGCTGTGGTTTGAGCCTTTTATAGAAGATTAGAGAATATAAGACAAGTGGACTTGGCCAATGAGAAGGATTCAAGTTGCAAATAAGGTTGAGATAGAAGAAGCTTCAATCTCATAACCATGTGCTGTTATGAAGATTCCCGCGTGAAGTTATATTTTGTCTCTTTGGGGTTGTACTTAAGATTTATTAAGATTTCTATTTATTTAATTTTCTATATGAAATTCAATCTTTGTTGATTAAGGCACTGTGGAAATCGGTCCAGTGTGAAATTGAACACGGAGAATCTAGTTGAATGAGGGGGGTGTTGAGGATAAACATTATTCTTATCTGATGATGGAGGTAAATGCAGCATTTCATGCGTTACTTTTGTAATAAGCATGAGTTGCAACTTGCACCGCTATTATGACATTTAAATTCTGTAACTTTTTTATTTTTTCTGCACGTAACAAGGATGGAGATATAGACATGGCCTATCTGTTTGAGATTTTGATACCCAATCCATATAAAGTGAAGTGAACTGGGACATTTGTCATAGGCCACTTCAAGGCTGCTTTATCTTTTGAATATTATTTTTGTTGTTTCACTAAATATAGTATAATTGGAAAATAATTATATGTTTTTAGGCATGTTAATAAGGAATCAATATTTAAGTACTTATGTATAAAAAATTATTTATTAGAAAAAAATAAATTTCTATATCAAATAATTAGCATATAATTAGTATTAGAAAAATTTTAAGTTCTTCATTTAATAGAAAATAATTTTTAATATATAAGTTAATTTTATAAAATTGAATTAAACATGGAAAAAAAATATTGATTATACAAGAGTTGGACTTTGAGTTACCTTCGTAACCTTTGGTCTAAAGAAAATGATTTAGTGGATGTCTTAGTTACCAACTTACCATGTAGGGGGATACATACATTTTTTTGTAATGAAGGTACTGTTACATATAAATACACGGGTCATCACTTTTTTACATTATTATTACAATATTTCTTTAAAGAGTACTCACACAGTAAGGTGAATTTCATATGGTATATAACCAAACAGGTCTTTTGGCTATGATTTGTTAATTGGTCTATAAACTATTTTGAAACACTTGTTCTTTTGATCCGCTTTGACTAAGAATAAGGTTGTGCTTGAATTAATTTATTTTTGGGAAATGATTCTTTTTTTTTTTTTTATCATTTTCATAAAAGTTTTGCGGTGGAAAAATAATGTTTTTGTTAAATAAATTGTGACTAAACATAATTTAGTATTTTTTATCTTTTAAAATTTTATTTTTTATTTATTTTAGAGAAATATCTTATTAATTTTAAATTTTTAAGAGAAATTTTAAAACTAAATAATTATTTTCTTAGTATATATGTTGCCGAATATAAACTTAAATAATCAACGTATCATTAAATCAAGTAGAATAAATATTCAAATAACATCTTAATTCGAGTCATATGTGGATGAAAAACATGATTAAAAAAATACATTACATTAAAAGTGGTTAGTAATATCTCTTGCAAATATTATTTATTATTAATCTTAGTAGATGTATTTCACATCTATAACATATTGATGAGAAAACATATGCTTAATGAATAAAACAAAATATTGAATGACAATAAAGAATTTAAACTAAAGAGTTTCATTGAAACACGTGATTTCTAATTCATGGTTAAATGTCAGTTAAATTCCATTTTTTTTTCATATTAAGAAAATTTAATCCGCTTTATTTATAAATGGGTTTTGTGGTATTGAACTAAATTTAAACTCAAATTGTAAAATAATATAAAAGTCAATGTTAAATTCTTATCATTCTAAGCCCATTTGACTAATTAAGTCCACATTTTAGATAGATAATTTTTCGAATATTTGATTTGAGTGAAATATAGGTTCGGTGCTGCCAATGCCATCATATAGTGTTTGACTGTTTCTTTCCTTATCTTTATAAATCCAGAAGACCGATGGTTTTGTGTTAGAAGCTACTGAATGGACCAGACAGAAAGACTAGCAAAATAAAAAAATAAAATAAAAAAAGGATATTCTTGTAATACCAAGTACAAGCAAATGGAAAGTTAACTTTATTCTTAATTTAAATATTCCATATCTCTCTACATATATGATGAAGATTTTCACAATCTCTCCACTTGTCAAGCGGACCAAGTTTCGAAGTAGTATTTGAATACCGTCCTCAGGGATTTGAGTGTTTAGTAATTCTTTACTCTAATGATCCAATAAAATATGTTGATGGAATTGCATTTGAGTTAAGATGATGTAAAGCAACACAATGATATAAAATTAATAACAATAATTTTAAGAAACAAGGATTGGTTCAGAAGTACTTGCTAACTCGTAGATCTTCTTAAAATAAATGCGATTCTAATTTCATTATTTCCACGTTCATTTAGTAATCCAACAAGATTCCTCAAGTTTGAATCCTAAAGTCATTAATCTCAAAACATGATTCCTCTATATTTTGAGTTTAACACTTCGCATTAAGAACAGTGTTTTGAACAATGTGACTAACCAAATCAAGTCTATTCCTAGAACGAGAAATGATTAGGTGCAACATTCAGTTTTGGTTTTCAAAAACGTTTTCCAACTGGATTCAAAAACCAAAATCATACCACGGGTAATCAAACCGATCGAAGCATTAAGTAAAGAATCAAGAACAAATAATGATATCAAAATGCATATATTTAAGAAGAAGAAGAGTTAGTAGTTACATCCAACCAATCCTTAATGAGTTTAGCCACACATGGCCATTTCAAGATCCAAGAGTGAAAGAAGAAATTACAAAGTAAAGGATGAAGAAATGGAGTTGATCTTCGTTCCCAAAGGATTCAGCTTCCAAATCTTTGTTCTCCCCTTGTTCTTCCCTCTTCAAGTGCTCCTTAATCTATTTTTATCTGTTTTTCCGTGATGTCCCTGTTTTTCCAGATTTTCCCCTTTTATATGAGCTTTAAAACAGGGGCAAAAAGTGATTTTTCCTCTCACAGCTGCAGCTATAAATCCACAGCTATGGTTGTGGAGAGTCCTTCAGAGTGAAGAAACCTCCAACGATGCAGCTGTGGTTTCACGGCTATAGCTGTGGCAACTCCTTCAAGCTTAAGGAACCTCTAGCGCTGCAGGGGTGAAGCCACAACTATGGCTGTGGATCTCTGGAGTTTTTGCTGGGTCCTGGGTGCTCCATGACTTTAGCTGTGAGTCCACAGCTTTAGCTTCAACTTTTTGGAGTTTCAAATTGCATTTCAGATTTTCACAGCTATAGCTGCAGATCCACAGCTATAGCTTCAACTTTATGGATTTCTCCCAGATTTCCACAGCTCGAGCTCCAGATCCACAACTATGGTTGTGGATCTTTGCCTTCCTAAAAAAACTTGCAAAAAATGAGGAAATTCCTTAAGATTTTGCTACTACTCCTCTACTCTTTTAGTATAACTTGATTCTTTAAAATAAGGGGGGTAAAATAACATATATAATATTTACAATTACCAAAAAGAGTACCAAAAATTGAGTGCAAATCATGCATAAAAGACACTCAACAATATATGCCCTTTATTAATCTCATTGATTTTATTGTTCAAATTTCGTTTTCAATTCTTTATTTCTTTTAAAACTGAAAGAAACAACTTTATATTTGCTTTCCTGATATATATTTTTCATTTATACATAATTATCTTGGTTTTTGGCCAAACATTTATATAAAATATTTATCTTATAAAGTTTATAAACTGCTTTGTTTTCCTCCAAAAGGGCATGTTAGTTATTTTTATGCAAAACGTTGTCAAACATCTTGCATACTTTTGCAACCATTTTTATCACAGAATTATTAAGGTCTCCTTACACTAGTACACAAAGGGTCTTTTACGTCGGG